CCTCGTCCTTCAGTAGTGGCTGAGGAGGTGCAGGAAACACAGTCAGTAAAGTAGAGCTGGTGGGAGAGGCTGGGCGCGGCAAGCATTATGGCTGACGTGTAGTCACAATTGCAAACAAAATTAAATGAGCCAATATATGTAAGATTATACGGTGCTGTGCTTGAGCCCCATACTTGTAAAGTATTAAAAGTACTTGCCAATTCAGATAGATTTGAACCCAGTGGCCTGAAAATCACACAAGGCTCTCTGTAATAAGTAGTACTTTTTGTTTTTTAGACTTTTCTCATAGGGTGGGTATGTTCCTTGGAGAGAGACAGAGGGAGAGAAAGTGAGAAATCACCCCTGAGGAGGAATGGCCATGCTGCAATCCCTTCTCTATTTTCCTCTCTGGATTTTGGGCATGCATGCACATGCGCCCACTGTGATTTCCAAGCCGCTGATCTGGGACTTGAACTGCAGAGTCAGTCATGTGGGATCCAGGTCTTAACTACACACCATTTGCTGGCCCATAACCAATACTTTTAATAGGTTCCTCTTCCATGATTTTCCAATTTAAACTATATCTGCTTGGGTTCTACATTATGGCAACTGAGAATGTAAAGCATCTTTCTGATCTCCTTGGAATTGTTTACGCCAACCTCAGGTTTGGGATAATTGTTCGAATGTATGTCTTGTTAAAAGAAAAAAGAAAAATCCAGCCAGTTTAGTCGAGTGGAGTTTTAATTGAACAAATCTTAACACGATTTGAATCAGGGAGTTTGCAGACCAGCTCTCAAGCAACTCCAGCTAGCCTCATTCGGCATTTAATTCTGGAAAAGGAAAGTGATGTGTACTGAACGGAAACATGATGTACGAAGTGAAGGAATGAGGTAGAGAAACAGTTTAGGTTGGTTACATTCCAAAGTTTGTCTGCATTAACACAGTTTAAAAGGCGGGATTCAAGGACCAGCAGATGTAATGGTTATGTCGCTGGATTCCAGGTAGTTGACCGCTGTTTGGAGTCCGGGATCTGCAGCTTAAAACTCACACCAGGCATGTGTGTGTGTGCATGCCCAGGATCCCAAGAGGAGAATGGGGGAGAAGGGATTATGGCGTAGCCAACCCTCCTGGGGGATGATTTCTCACTTTCTGTCTCTGTCTCTCAGGTGAGCACTCCTGCCCTATACAACAACAACAAAATCCTCTGGGGGGGGGGGAAGAGGCGGGACATAACTGACTGAAGCCTACCTGCTGTGATTGGCTGTAACCTACCAAGAAAGAAAAAGAATGAGGTTTCAGTTTGTTTCCGTAAACCAAGCAGTACAGAGGCTGTTTTAAATATACATTTTTTAACAACCTTAGTTCACAGTAAACAAAACAACCCTCAAATGATAATAGATTTACGATGTTTTCCTCCACCCCTGTTTTCTAGGGTAATACTCCAAAAATTCCTGATGTACAGAATAATGTGTAGCCAGTCAGTTGAACTGTATTATTTTAATCGGACCTATGTGAATTCTTACCTTCATCCTTTTTTGCCTTCCTCTTTGTAAGAAAAACCAGTTTCTCTTGGCTATCACATGTCTAGGGACCCAGTGTGTGTATTCAGGAGATTTAACCTAAGCTGTGGCTCAAATAAAGCACTTTTATTTCATTTGTTTTGCCTGTGCCTCAGCCTTCTATGTGGACGTTCCATACTACAGAGTGTGGTTCTAATTTGATTCTGTACAAAGGAGAGCACTAAGAGTTTTTAAACAGTTTTCTAATACTTCTAGCAATTTCCACAGTATGATACTGAAACTACACAAGAGGGAAACCTACCAGCATTTTGGGGTTTTTTTTTGGAGAGGTTTTTGCTATAGGATACGTGAGCTCTCCAGAAAGACAGAGAGAGACAGAGACAGAAAGTGAGAAATCACCCCCCAGGGGTGACGGCCACCTGCAATCTCTTCTCCATTCTCCTCTCTGGATCTTGGGCACGCATGCACATGCGCCCGGCCTGAGTTTAAGCCCCGGGTCCGGGTCTTGAACCGCGGTCAACAACGTGGGAGTCCAGCGACATAGCCATTACGCCAGCTGCTGGCCCTGCCAGCATTTTAAATAAAGGAACTGAGAAACACATCCCTATTGAAAAAGAAACAAACAAAAGTTTAGGAAAGAAAATTTCAGGATAATGCCCACATCTTCTAGCTTGGATAAATTGATAACACACATAGAGAGCTTCCAAAATAACTTTTATTACTATATAAAACAAGTCAAGAAAAAATAGATGAATATCTTTTCCAAAAAAATTATAAAATATTCAGGCTATGTAAATATTTTTTCCATAATGTGCTGACATTAAAAGACAAATTTAAAGACAGAAATCTTTTCCACTTAAAGTTTCCAGGTACCTTGTAGGAGATAAACGAAATACTAATTTTCTTTCTTCTATGCTTTCCTATGTGTAGCTCTAAAACAGAGCCGTTATAGTTTTCTAAGAAAGGACATCCCAAGATAAAAATTCCATCATATTGCAATAAACTTAGCAGAAAGCTTTTCTTCCACCGCATTTTAAATCTGGCAGCTGTGGTCAATCAGCGCTGCACTGGAATTTCCAACTCCACAGGGGAAAGAGCCTAATTAAAAATGAGACTTAAGTCTTTATTTTTCCTTCACGAAACAGAAACCACTTGTCAGTATTCCTGAAAAAGTGCAATTGCCTCCTTTGTCACTTCATTGTAAGGTCTGAGATGATGTTTCTAAACAGCACCGCTTCAACCAAACCTCCCAAGTGAGGGACAGAACATGCTTTGGAGGGCGAGGGCAGATTCAGTCTGACATCGGAAGCACAGGAAGCTATAGACTTTTGATGACATTAATTCAAAACGTGTATTCATTGGAGTTTTTCAATAAACCCTTTGAGAGAAAAGGCTTTAGTGTTGAGCTGGGTGAGTGTTAAAATAAAGCTTTCTTTTCTGAAATTAGATTATGGGGTAAACCAAGCCAGATGATCTCTGTAGATGATATAAGGTATAATTATTTGGGGAGGTTTCAATCACTGTTTTGGAATTGATACCTAAGGCTTTCTTCTCCCCTATTCTTTGTGAGCTTTTTAATGAGATATTTTTGGGGGAGCTGCTTTAGGTAGGAAATATCAGCTTTTGAGAGATAAAGGTGCAATTATCATTAGAATAAAAAGTCGATTAAAGGAAGAGTCTCAAACAAAAAAAGGTTTTCTAGATATATTTTACTATGCATTGTTTTCATAAAGGCTGAGAATGAGAAAAAAAGAAGTTCCTATAATATCTGTAAGATTACCCTCCCATTAGCCCACATGAAAGATAAAATAAAGGGCTGAGATGAAAGTTGCTCAAATACTCTGCAATGAAGCTATTCTAGTGCCAAATCCATAATTAACTTGTCACTGATAACCTTTCTTGGCCTACATAAAAAGGAATGGCAGCTTCAATTCTTGGGGCTCAGTCATTTCCCCCTGCCCTGCCACCAAAATGAACAAATAAAATAACCCTTGAGTTTTGTGTACCTCTATGTGATTAAACATCTATTTATCAAAATACGTTTGCGTGTGATGGTGTAATTACTCTTACTCAGCACCAGGACTGTACTATGAACTACCCCTACTGAATTTAACTATGCTATTAGGTGTCAGGCATTGGCCTAGGCACTGAGAATCCTTTTGACACTGTTATCAATTTAAAAAATAGAATTAAGTGGGGCCAGCAGGTGGCATGGTGGTAAAGGTGCTAGATCCCACATGGCCAACTCCATGGTTTGAGTCCCAAATCTGGCAGCTTGAAAAATGTGCTGGGTGAGTGTGCATGCATGTCCAAAATCCTGAGAGGACAATGGAGGACAAGGGATTGTGGTGTGGCCATCTCCCTTGGGGAGTGATTTCTCACCTGCCCCCTCACCTTCATTCCAGTTTCTCTCTGGTGAGCTTATACACTCTATGGCAAAAATCTTAAAAAAAATAAAAAATAAAAAAAATAAAGAATGAAAGAAAGAAGTAACAAAACTGTATTTGCAGCAAGGAAATCTCCAGTCTCCAATGGTTATCCATGAAGTTTAAGGGATGTGAGGGAGTATAGCTTATATTCAGTCTTTGGCAGTAACTACTAGTTACTTGGAAAGAAATCCACGGGGGCCGGCAGGTGGCATAGTGGTTAAGGCGCTGGACTCCCACATGACTGATGGTTGTTGGAATTTGGGATCTAGCAGCTTGAAAATCATGCTGGGTGAGTGTGCATGCCTAAAATCTAGAGAAGAAAATGGAGGAGAAAGGATTGCAGCATGGCTATCTCCTCTGGGGGGGTGATTTCTCACTTTCCCTCTCTCTGTCTCTCTCCTCTCTGAAGAGTGCACATCAGGTACATGTGGATGAGTGTCCAAAATCCCAGGAGGAGAATGGAGAAGAGGGGACTGAGGCATGGCCAGTCCCACTGGGGGGTGATTTCTTACTCTCCCTTTCTGTCTCTCTGGCAAGCCCTTGCATCCTATGGCAAAAAAAAATTAAAAAAAAAAAAAAAAGAAATCAATTAAGCACCAAGAATGTTAAGTGTATTTGATGTAAACTGTAAGGCTCTTATCTATATTGAAACACTTCAGTTTAAAATTACAGGGATGCCAAAAATCAACCCAAAAAAACAACCCAAAAAATGAAAAACATTTCAGCATAGGCACTTCTCTAGGTTTTCACCAAAGTGAACCCAGAGCTTAGACAGGTCTTCATGCATGAAAAGTTATCATCTTTAAGTCTCAATTCACTACTAAGTATTCAAAACTCAAAATATCCCCTAAAGTATCCACCAAAAAAACAAAAACCAAAAAATCAGGAGGGACCCTAGCTAATGCCCAGCTCCAAACTCAAATAAGATCTTAAAGAACAAAAATGATAATTAATTAATCTTGAAAGCTACAGATGTTTTTGTCCACCTATTTTTGTCACCAAGACACAATTTTAAGATTGAAGGGGCATTAAGGTCAGCACAGCTTGTTGGCAGTGACAGGGGACCTGTGCCTTATTTTCGGGTAGGGGTGGCCCTTCTGGGTTAGGTGGGGAATCTGCACGGAGAGAAAGCCAAGGGTAAGAAGTATCTGTTTAGCAACTCCACTCCACTCCAGCAATTGAGGAGGTTTATTCAGGGGAGGGCTAAAGTAGGTGCAAATTAGTACAAAACTGGAAAAGAGGGAAGTGGTTAGGATCGTGGCCTGAGGAGCCAGTCTGCCAGGGTCTGAATCTCAGTTCCTCTGTAATGAGCTGTGTGATCCTGGAGCAAGTGACCAGCCTCTCCAGGTGTCAGCTCTCTCATCAGTGAAGTGGTGATAACAGACCGGAGACTGGCTAAGCTCCTGTTTGCAGAGTGCTTAGAAGAGTGTCAGGGCACACAGTAAGTGTCAGCTAAGTACTTTCAAAATTTAAAACAGCAACTTAGGGAAAAGTGCTCTTTGAGGTTTGTAGAGTAGTTTACGTTGCTTAAACATTAAGGCATATTTTCATTCAAAGAGGTTTAGAATCTGGATTCTAAAGTACACCTACCCCAAGGAAGTCTCGAGACTAAACTGAGTTTTAGAAAATCTTCTAAGTCTGACCAGAGAAGATATCTTCAGCTGCCTATGGGCCAAAGTCTATGCCAAAACAGACTCATATAAAGCCTGGACTCCAGGGCCAATCTCAGCCCAAATTAGCTGGAGAGAGCAGAAGTCAGGCATGGGGCCACGGAACCAGTTATTGTCCTCATTTTTTTTTTTTTCCTGTACTCTAGTTACAATATCCTTGCAGCAGAATGGTCTATACCCTGTCTGAGATTTTAAACTTGAGAACTGGTTCTACTGAGTTCTGGAATCATCAGGCTCCCAGAATTATCAGAAAATGACTGTAAGACAAAAAAGGCCGGGGATGCTGCCAGTTTGTCAAATTAACCGATGGATAGATTTTGAGCATCTGGTCTGTGCAAGGCACTGTGCTAATGCTTTGATCTTCAACAAGAAAGAGAGAGAAACCATAATTCATGTGTGTGATTATTAACACTGACCGTGTCTTTTCTAATTCAGGTAGTTCGTAGGCTTCAATCAATATGACCACTTCCAAGAAATCCTCCCCAACGATTAAAATAAAAATCGACACTATGTGTGTAGCTCAATCATCTGACTGCTACATAGGAGAAGCTTACTGTAGAGCTGCTTTTTAAAGTGAGGTTATGTACCTATGCCACTATAACACTTCACATGGTGGATCTCTGTCCAGTCTCATCCAGGGCGAAGTTTCTTTTCCTTGCTGCTGCTTCACTGTTTAACTCTGCATCTGATTTGTCCATGTTGTCAGAGTGTATTGCCATGGAACCTGCCACGCCCCCTGCAGTGCCTCCATTTGGCTGAAGAAGGGTCAAATTCGGTTCTTGAGGACGTTTCCATTGCGGTCTGGTGACTATCCAGAAAATGAGGGCCCCAAACACCACAACCAAAAGGCTGAGGGTATTTACAAACACACCTTCTGGTGGTAATAAACTGTACAGACCATTTGGCCTATGAAGAAAGAGAACGTGTATATGATTACAATTACAGTGCTATAGCAACACGTAAAACATTTGTGAATTGATTTCTTCAAAACGTACACTTGTATATGGCCTGTAGGTAAGCTCCCTTAAAGACTGATATTAAGGAGGGACCATCAGATAGTGTAATGACTATGTCGCTGGACTCCCATGTAGCCGACCGTGGTTCGAGTCCCAGACCTGGTGGCTTAAACTCATGCCTGGTGCGTGTGCGTGCATGCCCAAGATCCCAAGAGGAGAATGGAGAAGGGATTATGGTGCGGCCATCCCCTCTGGGGAGTGATGTCTCGCTTTCTGTCTCTCTGTCTCTCTCTGTCTTTCTGGTGAGTGCAAGCACCCTACAGCAAAAACCTCCCCCCCCCGCCAAAAAAAAAGAAAGAAAAGATTGAAAGGAAATACGTAACCTCAGTCATTGGTTTGTAAGAGTGGTACCAATTGTTAGACTGTTTTATCCTTCTTCTAAGTTTCATTTATTTTAATTTATTATTTTTAAAAGCATTATTTATTTATTTATTTATTTTATTATTATTATTATTTTAAATTTGCTATAGGGCATGTATGCTCACCAGAGAGAGAGAGAGAAAGTGAGAAAGCAAGCCACCAGGTCTAAGACTCGAACTGCGGTCGGCCATGGGGGAGTCCAGTGCCCCAACTACCACACTACCCGCTGGCCCTTATTTATTTATTTATTTATTTTTTTAAGGTCTTTTAAGACAGGGTCTCACTGTGTCATGATCCCCCTGAGTGTCTGAGAATAAGACAGATCCTACCACACCCGGCTCTTTTCTAAACAGTGTCTCACTGTATTGTACAGGCCAGCCTCAGGCTCATGATCTCCTGCCCCAGCCTCCCTGAACGGCTGGGGTTTCAGGCCCGTGCCACTACACTCAGCCTTTAGTTTGGATCAGGAGTCAAATCTCAGATACCCAAGTGGTCCAACTGTGAAGCACAGCATCTTAGCAACATGAACCATTGCAGCTGAACAGCTACACTTTTGCAGTGTTATATCACACGTATAATAAATTGTAATAAAAATAAGTGCTTTTAAATGAAAAAAATTAATATGAAAAAAAGTCATTACATTTATATTACATTTCCCAATAAACAAATAGTTAACATTTTCTAGTTTAAGTATTACGATCATGAAGATGATGCAACTTACAGGACGAAAAACAGCTTCTCTGTCATTCCCGTAAGTACTGCTATCATTACGGATCCAAAGAGGAGAAGTCCAGAGTAAACATGTATGGGCAAGAAGATTGCTCGGAGAGAAGGTGGAGCCCAAGGAAACAGAAAGATGAATAAACCTAGGACAAGCTAAACACCAAGAAACGCAATGGTTACAATTGACGGTTCCAATTTATCTTAAATTACCAAGAAAACACGATGTTCAAACTTCTCATACAGAACCAATAAGGCATAAAATAAAAGTAAGTTTCTCCACCCCCGTTCAACTGTGCAAAGGTAGTGCCTATTATCACTCATGTATCCTTCTGGAAAGTTTCTATGCCTATACAGCATATTGCATATAATATATAGAAAGAGGTTGTTGTTGTTTTTAATACGAATGGGATCTTATATACATATTGTTCTGCATCTTGCTTTTCCTCCTTATCAGTGTATCTTAGAGATCTTTTCATACCAACTTTGATCACATTTATCTAGTTTATTCTTTTTATGGCTAAAATGATGTATTTAAGGATGTAACATTATTTATTCAGTTCTCTTTTTATGGGCATTTCAGTTTCCAATTTTTTACTACCATTAACAAAGGTCTGATAGTGGGGCTGGCAGGTGGCGTGGTGGTTAAGGGCGCTGGACTCCCACATGACTGACCACTGTTCACGGTCCAGGACCTGGTGACTTGCTTTCTCACTCTCTCTCTCTCTCTCTGTTCAAATTAAAATAAGTAAATAAATAAATAAAGTTAAATAAAAATAAATCTTTATAAAAAAATTCTGGTGAACATTCTAGTACTTACTTTGTTTTTATCCATTTTTAAGGTTGCCAAGTAGGATTGGAAATAAAAGATTTTTGAAATCACTAAAACCCAATACATTAGGACATATAATGAAGTCAGTTCAACATAAAAAGCTGTGTGAAAAGCTAACAATTTGGTTTTATGAGGAAGAAATGAACTCTGCAGAAAAGTTACCTCTGTTTCTTGATAATTAAATACTTAATGGGATACAGCTTTGCAGAGAAGATAGCAAGATTCTTATATAAACTGAAGTCTGGGGGCTGGCAGGTGGCATGGTGGTTAAAGGCGCTGGGCTCCCACATGCCCAGCTATGGTTCAAGTCCCAGACCTGGTGGCTTCCTTTCTCACTTTCTCTCTCTCTCTTTCTGGTCAAACTGGAAAATAATAATAAAATACAGTTAAAATAATAATAATAAAATACATAAATAAACTGAACTGTTATGTGTTCACAGTTTTGTTTTGTTGCCCCACATCCCTTGTCCATTAAGTATTCTCCTCTCTTCAAGAAAATAAAGATGACCTAGTGCCTTTTTTTTCTCCTCCTGTTTGCCAGAGGGTCTGTGTTCACCAGAGAGAAAGAGAGAGAGAAAGGGAAGAAGATGGCAGAGGAAACCGCCCAGTGGGCTTGGTCATGCTGCAATCCCTTCTCCCTTTCTCCATCCTGCTGAGATTTGGGGCACGCATGGGTGCCTGGAGTATTTTCCAAGCTGCCAGGGCCATCATTTGGACCATGCGGTCAGCCATGTGAGGTAGTTCCCTTAACCTCCAGGCCACAGGGTGGGTCCAGTGGTTATTGAATTTCTGAGTTTAAAGAGACTTTTTTTCAAGTACTTATGTAGGATTTATCACCCTAACAAAACACCTAAGAGAGGAGAGTGGGAATAAAAGCAGTACCATCTATTCCTTTTCCCCAAGGACTAATGGGGAGACACCAGAAAAATGGAGGCAGGAGGAGACCAAAACCCTAATATATATTTAGAATCGAGTATGTGTAATTCACAATGAATGAGTAGAAAGTAATCAAAATGTATTTGATTGACTGATTTGCATGTTTTATTGTTTACTTGCTACCCCTAATACCTGAGAATATTAGAAATGGTTCCAAGGTTTCCCCCTTGGTGGTTCAGAATATTCCTAACTTTCCTTCAGTGAATTTCAGTGATTTTATTAGTGTCAACGGGCTACTAATGTTTGCATTGTGCTTTCTTTTTTTTAAAGAGAGATTTTTGCTATAGAGTGCATGTGCTCACCAGAAAAAGAGAGAGAGTTAGAGAAACAGAAAGTGAGAAGTCACTGCCCAGGAAGGATGGCAATGCTGCAATCCCTTATCCTCCATTCTTCTCTTGGGATTTTGGGCACACATGCACATTCACCCTGTGTGAGTTTGAAGTCGCTGGGTCTGGGACTTGAACCACAGTTGACTACATGGGAGTCCAGCGATGTAACCTTTACACCATCTGCTGGTGCCCACATTGTGCTTTCTATACAAAAGCACTGCTCAGGAAAGTAGCACAAGTCTATTTCTGTGGGTTACCCTATCTTTTCCGTAATTTACCCATAGACTATAGTCCTCATATTCCTGTTCTCCTCACCATCTTTATTCCTAAGATTTTTACTGTTTTCTTTCATTTCCTCTATGATTTATCATGTGTGTCTCTTGCAGTCCTGTAGGCTTAATAACCTAAATGGGTGGGACATCAGAAATTTGCTTATGGGACCCACGAGTAATTTAACTCTTTTAAATCCTACCTTCACTACTAAGATTTTTTTTCAACAAAAGAAAGTTAATTTTTAAATGGAAAAGAAAAACACAGAATGCTTAACTTTGATTAAAAAAATATTAGGAAGGATGCAATTATACAAGTTAATAGTTATTTATAATAATTTTTTTCTTTATTTTCCTTTAACAATCTTACCACAAGTAAAGCTGGTAACTTATAACCCAGAGGACCAAAAATTACAAGACTTGTTGGCCCTCTGAGTCAATGATCTTCTTTTTTTTTTTTAGGGAGAGATTTTTGCTATAGGGACCGTGTACTCACTGTAGAGGCAGAGACAGAAAGCAAGAAGTCACCCTCTGGGGGTATGGCCACATTGCAATCCCTTCTCCTCCATCCTCTTCTCGGGATTTTGGGCACATATGCACCCACCATAAGTTTTAAGTCACTCGATTGAGGACTGGAACAACTATGTAGGATTCCAATGACATAATCCTACATAGGATCACGCCATTGCTGATCCAAAGCAGAGATTCTTGCTGGTCCCAATCGGTGATTTTTTTTTCATTTTTTTTTTGAGAGGTTTTTGTTTTAGGGCATGTTTGCTTGCCAGAAAGAGAGAAACAGAGAGACAAAAAGTGAGAAATCACCCCCAAGGGGGATGGCCATGCCACAATCCCTTCTCCATTTTCCTCACGGGATCTTAGACACACATGCACATGTGCTAGGTGTGAGTTTAAGCCACCGGGCCCGGCACTTGAACCGCGGTCAACTACATGGTAGTCAGTGACATAGCTATTAGGCTAACTTCTGCTCTTCTAATCAGTGATTTCTTTTTTTTTTTTTGGAGAGATTTTTGCTATAGGGTGCGTGCACTTGCCAGAAAGACAGACAGAGACAGAGGAACAGAAAGTGAGAAATCACCCTCCTCTGGGGGCGGGGAGGATGGCCACGCCACAATCCCTTCTCCTCCATTCTCCTCTTGGGATCTTGGGCACGCACGCACACGTGCCCAGTGTGAGTTTTAGAGTGCATGTGCTCACCAGAAAAAGAGAGAGAGTTAGAGAAACAGAAAGTGAGAAGTCACTGCCCAGGAAGGATGGCAATGCTGAAATCCCTTATCCTCCATTCTTCTCTTGGGATTTTGGGCACACATGCACATTCACCCTGTGTGAGTTTGAAGTCGCTGGGTCTGGGACTTGAACCACAGTTGACTACATGGGAGTCCAGCGATGTAACCTTTACACCATCTGCTGGTGCCCACATTGTGCTTTCTATACAAAAGCACTGCTCAGGAAAGTAGCACAAGTCTATTTCTGTGGGTTACCCTATCTTTTCCGTAATTTACCCATAGACTATAGTCCTCATATTCCTGTTCTCCTCACCATCTTTATTCCTAAGATTTTTACTGTTTTCTTTCATTTCCTCTATGATTTATCATGTGTGTCTCTTGCAGTCCTGTAGGCTTAATAACCTAAATGGGTGGGACATCAGAAATTTGCTTATGGGACCCACGAGTAATTTAACTCTTTTAAATCCTACCTTCACTACTAAGATTTTTTTTCAACAAAAGAAAGTTAATTTTTAAATGGAAAAGAAAAACACAGAATGCTTAACTTTGATTAAAAAAATATTAGGAAGGATGCAATTATACAAGTTAATAGTTATTTATAATAATTTTTTTTCTTTATTTTCCTTTAACAATCTTACCACAAGTAAAGCTGGTAACTTATAACCCAGAGGACCAAAAATTACAAGACTTGTTGGCCCTCTGAGTCAATGATCTTCTTTTTTTTTTTTAGGGAGAGATTTTTGCTATAGGGACCGTGTACTCACTGTAGAGGCAGAGACAGAAAGCAAGAAGTCACCCTCTGGGGGTATGGCCACATTGCAATCCCTTCTCCTCCATCCTCTTCTCGGGATTTTGGGCACATATGCACCCACCATAAGTTTTAAGTCACTCGATTGAGGACTGGAACAACTATGTAGGATTCCAATGACATAATCCTACATAGGATCACGCCATTGCTGATCCAAAGCAGAGATTCTTGCTGGTCCCAATCGGTGATTTTTTTTTCATTTTTTTTTTGAGAGGTTTTTGTTTTAGGGCATGTTTGCTTGCCAGAAAGAGAGAAACAGAGAGACAAAAAGTGAGAAATCACCCCCAAGGGGGATGGCCATGCCACAATCCCTTCTCCATTTTCCTCACGGGATCTTAGACACACATGCACATGTGCTAGGTGTGAGTTTAAGCCACCGGGCCCGGCACTTGAACCGCGGTCAACTACATGGTAGTCAGTGACATAGCTATTAGGCTAACTTCTGCTCTTCTAATCAGTGATTTCTTTTTTTTTTTTTGGAGAGATTTTTGCTATAGGGTGCGTGCACTTGCCAGAAAGACAGACAGAGACAGAGGAACAGAAAGTGAGAAATCACCCTCCTCTGGGGGCGGGGAGGATGGCCACGCCACAATCCCTTCTCCTCCATTCTCCTCTTGGGATCTTGGGCACGCACGCACACGTGCCCAGTGTGAGTTTTAAACCACTGGGTCCAGGACTCGAACTGCGGTCTACTACATGGGAGTCCAGTGACATAGCTATTATGCTAACTGCTAGCCC